AAAGGCCCAGCACACTCAAAGAGCTGTCTATAGTTTCTTGATGACGCGATTTTGTCGGCGCGCTATTGTCTATCGCGCATTTGTCGGTGAACCCTTCTTTTCACCTCAGAGTTGGCGGATAGTCTGCCAGAAGACCTTGTTTTCCGTCCGGAAATTCGACTCACTTAAACTTATCGACTTTTTCGAAAAAGTGAGCTTTAGCTTTGGCCACTGCTTTCGCTACCGCCATCAGTGCTTCCACGTATAGCATGCGAGTTGAAGAATATAATTCCAGGGTTCCTCTTGAATAAACCTTTATCTCGGTGACAGTCAGCAGCACCTTTCGTGTCCATCTGGAAGTTCGTTTCTGACCTTCTGGCTATCCGATTTTGAACTGAGGATTTTCCAAATCCCGAGAGGGCCCGAGAAGGCCGCTCTTTAAGAGCTCCAACACGGTTTCCACATCAGCGATCATCACCTGAATCTGTTCAAACCGTCGTTCGATGTTGTTTGCAAGTTTCTCTGTGTTACCCATGTGATTTTCTGATTGCTTCTGCCACCACATCATCGCCTGGTACTCCTATTATCACAGTGTCGCTTTACAGTAACAAGTGTGATCTGTTGAAAGCTCTGCACCTCTCTTAACGCGAGCATCCATTACAGAGCGTCGTAAGTCAGACGATACGGTATCGACTTCTGTGCACAAGCCTTCTTGTCCCTGGTATACTGATGCGCGTTTTGATACTCGAACAGGGTGTTCATGACAGACAGTCCGTTGTTTGCACAAAATCGCAACAACTTCATGCCTTTATCATCGAGATCACTAGCGACGTCCATTATAGTAACGTTTTGCCACTTTTCAGCATCTACTGCGCCATGCGCAGTGAAATCGCCCATGAGAATACGAAACTCCGTAGTCGTCATTTCGTACAGAGCACACTCCACTTCCTCAAGGAATGAGTCATTCTGCCACTAAATAGGGCACGCAGACTTGTAAGAATGTCATCGCTTTAGCCTGTTGCGGTTTCAGTCAGAGATTTGTCACCTTTCCGGTAATAGGCTTTAAATCAATGATTCTGTCAGCCAGGTTTGGTTCTACTAGAGCACCAACACCGGCGCCCAAGGGCACGTTGTGATATCGACATCTGAGAAGAATAGCTCCCACGCTTACAGGTTCAGGATTTTAGAGCCTTAATGTTTTTTTTTGATGAGATTCCCACTCTACCGTTGGTACTCTATGGCCTCATGAATTAGGCCCTACTGCGTACCTTTTAGTGCGAGGATGTTGCACTTTCCCACTTTAAGCTCCAACCATCGGTATCTTTCTTGTTATGCCTTATCTGATTGGCTATGAAATCGTGCTCTCTGTCTCCTTTGTTCAGAATGAGTAGCGATTCTGCTCCTCTTTGGTATGTTCAACGTCGTTTTGCTGATTTTCGGCAGCCGGTGTCGTGCTGCTGCGCCCCTGGCTACCAGAAGGCGATCACCAGTTTCTTTTTGCAGCCTGCATCTGTCCCGTAGCCTGAGCAACCATTGGTAATGGGGCAACGATTGAGCCGGTATAATGTTCGATGACGGCAATACCACGAGTGACCACTGCCTAAGTTTTACAGAGACCTAACCACGGTCTGCAACCCTGCTTCGTTGTCATCAGAATTTGGAACCGCAGCGGCAGACTAATATTATCAAAATATGGTAATAATTTTACCTCCTGCATTTTACCTGATGTGTTTCTTATTTCCCCTATCAGAGGTAAAAGGCGTTATATACTTGGTGGTTATTTCAGACCCTCGATGTTTCGAGCGCCATTTTATCATTCTGACAGTTAAGCTGCCCTGAAAGCAAAACATTTTTGGAAGGGCTTCTGGATGAATTACTTTTACTTTTGATGCTGATGACATTAACGAATTACCGTTTAGTATTGGTTATACAAGCATAACTAAAATTTTAGGAGCATGTAGCTGTAAAATATTTTTTCCGTGCATATTTCTGGAATGTCTGATTGGTGCATCAATTAGTTCAATCTTGTTGAAGTATCATTTTGCTTTATTCTTATTATTTTCAGATTCTGCACACTCATATATCGTCTGTGGAAAGAGGGCAAATCACGGTGTCCGGCAGCATTCTGGTGATTCGTGGCAAAACTTTTTTCACGTTTAAGTTTATCATACCACGGGACAAAACTTGCCAAGATGTATATGATACCCTGGTGACACTTAGTCGTTCGAGTACGTGAGTAGTTCTTATTAAATTGCTGATCACACTTAAAAAGTTTTATTTTCCAGAGTGTATTGAGGAGCTTCCGGCGTTTTGCTACGTGCCGATCTACAAGAAGGAAAGCCATGAGGACGATTGGAGCATCATAAGCATGTACGACGACTATGCTCGTCTTGGTGTACCGAACGATAAGTGGATACTTTCCAACTTTAATGAAGGCTACGCGGTAAACATCACGTGTCAGTTGCCAGTTTTCATGTTAGGCCAAATGTTTTTTTTTAATGAAGAAGGCGTCATCAGATCTTACTGAAGAAAAATTGCTTACTGTTTGAAATTTATGTTTTATACATTGGAGCGTCATTCTACAAAGTTTCACTTAGAGTGATCAAGTAATCTGTCAGAATGTCCAGAAAAACATATTTGTAAACTGCGTTTGTTTGCACTTTATATTACGTGCTGTCTTTAGTACAGCGAAGCTTATCCTGAGAAGTTGTGCGTTCCACGTACCGCTGCCTTAAGCGTTTTAATCGGCTCATCAAAATTTCGTAGTCGTGGCCGTCTACCGGTGCTTTCTTACTTGCATCGCGAAAATGGGGTAAAATAGGCGTTGCGTTCCTTTATACCTTTGATGAAATTTATGTTGAAATTTTAGGCGTCGATATGTCGCTGTAGTCAGCCGTTGACAGGATTTAATAGCAGGTGCGGAGCAGATGAAGACCTCATGCACCATGTTTTGAAGACTAACCCTCGCTCTGGTCAACTGTTCATTGTCGACACGCGACCAAAGGTTTCTGATATTACCATGAGCTTTAATCAGTGATGGAATCAGGTTATTCTCTGCCATTGCCTTGAAGAAGCATTGTGCTTGCTTTGTTACCCTGATCCTCTAAATATGGATTCGTACTCCGGAATATATTAAATGAATTATAACAACTGTAAAAGTAAATTCCACGGCGTGGTGCACTGCTCCATGTTTTTAGTCGCCTTAGATGCTGTTTTAACAGGGCACTTTCTATAACATTTCAACACCAGTAGCGCTTAACACATCGCTCTTCGTTTTGTTCAGTAGACTAACTTCATCATGATCTATGTTTGTGGAGTTGATGTTGTTGATATGCAACTGCCTAAACATTGAAATTTGAACTCATATACCGGAGTATATTAAATGGCGCATGACATCCCCAAGACTAAATTGGTGGCGAAGCCCTAAACTAGCGTTGAGCGATGACTTTCTTAAAGTCCCCCAAAAAAACTATGAATAGTGAGATGGCGTATTGCACTTCTAAATATGATCTGGTAAGGGTCGCGCGTCATTTTGTAAGTTATAACATCTGTTTCGTTTGTTAACTTTTCTCGAAATTTCTCGAAAGAAGCCTTATGCTGGTGCTTACTGTAGATCAACGCGATGGCGAACAAAGCTGTCGGGAAAGGTTTCGAAGACGAAAACAATTATAGCGACGTACGGTACCATTTTTTACCGGTAGAAAACATTCATGCGATGCGGTCGAGTCTGAACAAGATGCTTGAAAGTAAGTATCAGCGACGTTTATTTACTGTTTCGTTCATAAGGACGACTTTATTTACATCATTTCTAGTGGTCAATGCTGGCAAAGATGCTACGATGGGAAGTTTTCTCAGCGGGCTCGAAAACAGCGGCTGGATGAAGCATATTCGATCTCTGTTGGAGACAGCGTTATTTATTGCCGAAGTAGCGATATTCGATGCATAAAGCTTAACCAACATGCTTCACATGCTTTTAAGTCGGTCAAGTCCGGCGTTACAGTCGTGGTGCACTGTTCTGACGGCTGGGACAGAACGCCACAGACAATCAGTCTAGCATCGATAATGCTCGATCCATATTATCGCACGTTACACGGATTTCAGGTACCATAGATGTAAAATAGGATTTGCATGAAGGTACTGTGTACTTCGCAACAGTCGAATGATCTAGAGATTTGCGACGGCTATAGTTTCAGGTTGTCCAGCCATTTTCTGCAGACTGGTGTCGAGAAAGTAGAGTAGGAGCTACGAAATTTTGCACTGTGAGCAAAATGGAACATTTATATCAAGCATGGTATTTGGCGTTCCTTTTAATACGGCATTAAAGAGAAAAGCAAGGCTAACGATTAATACAAGCTTCTTAGGGAGCTGATGGAGTGGCACTGATCTGCATCACGATATCATATGCCATTAGGGCGCTGTTTTCTTCAATGGCTATACCTACAGCTAATTTAATACAATGGCGCTTAGTCTTCCACGTCCGCTTACGAAGGGCTACTCATTTATGTCAGATGATGAAAAGCGCGAGCATGTGACCTTGAACTGTGAGTTTATTCTTCTGTCGACTGAGCGAGCTACTGTGCCTACGTTTGTAAAAATTTGGGCAAATTGGAATAAATTCCTTTTATACGTCTTTAGACGTTGATCGAAAAAGAGTGGCTGAAGTTTGGACACAAGTTTTCCGACAGATGCGGGCACATCTTTCAGCCGGATTCGAATTCGAAGGAAATCGCACCGATATTTACTCAGTTCCTTGACTGCGTGTGGCAGCTAATGGTGCAGTTTCCGCAAGCCTTCGGTTTCAATGAACATTATTTATTGACAGTTCATGACCACGTCTATTCTTGCCAGTTTGGAAATTTCCTCTGCAACTGTGACAAAGAACGAGCAGAGATGCAGTACGTCATGTCGTTTGGCGACGAGTGCTTCGTTTTCTTGTTTTCGTGTGTGCGTCTAAATCTGCCTTGTTTATAGACTCACTGAACGAACCTACTCTTTCTGGGGCTATGTGTCACGGGCGACACACGAATTTCTGAACCCGGTGTACGACGCAACATCGTCCTCGTTTCTTAAACCTGACTTACGGCCGTCGAACATCAGGTGGGTAATAAACTAGTCGCTTATGAGAACATTAATAGAATTTACTGTCATTTAACTTACTGTGAAGCCAGTATCTAGCCGACAGCTGTTGTTGACGATCATCTTTTTGTAACAAAGTGATCCTTCGCCCCTGAAAATTTACTTTCTGATTTAAAAACGCATATTACACAACCGCGCCGAAGCTGGAAGCGCCCGCGACAAATCAAAATACAAAATACTCAATATGATTTAATTTTATTCGAAAATATTTCTCTCAACATTTGCTGGGCCACTTGGACTAGTCAGTAAAGGCGACGAACCAAGTTGGCCGCTTTGCCCCTGCCATTGATTGCGGTTTCCAGCCTCTCTCTCAAGAGCAACCTTTTTGACTCTATATAATCTTCACGTGATGAGCGACCAAGCGGCCTAGTTTACTTCTTAGGATACCAGTCTTCGGTCATCGCCGAATGTCCCCCCGTTCGTGAACCGGGCTACGTGTATTTGGCCTACTGACCTTAAAGTCTGTCGGCTGTCTGATCACCGCGTTGAACGTATGATCGCGAGGCGAGATGACAAACTCTTCTTTCCATTACTTTCTCCATGACAGATAGCTGGAGCTGAATGGCTTTAGTGAGTGATAATGTCTCACAACCGCATAACACCACCGGAAGGACGGAC